GATTATTTGCAGCTCGACGGAGGCGTTAAAAATACTCCGAGTTGACGTCCAGAGAGATTGAGCGCGAATCCAAGGACGCTCCGAGCGAAGACCCCCGTCATAAAGGAGGGACGGAAAGCCTCCGATTAAACGCGGCCAGAAGGAAGAAAAGGAGGGCCCCACATAGAGGTCTCGTTATAATTAGCGGGGATGATAATCGACGGGTGTATAATTAAGAGGAAACGAATTCGTGGGCAGGACCTTCTGGCCGCGTCATCCTGTTGTGGGCCTTTTTTCTCACGGGGTCCTCTCGTCTCAATTTCGAATGTGGAATTACTAAAGAGGGCCCGGTGAGTCAGCCCTCCGAGACATTCCAGGATAACGCGCCCTCGGGACTCGTTAATGCCCCTCCACCTATCTGGACGCGTAGGTGGTCCTCCGGGAAGGTTTTTACATTTTTCTTCGACCTTCGTCACGGGGCCCGTGATGCCGCGTTTTTAACCGATTCGCCGGAAGATACCGCAAGAGGGCCCCGGAGGCCCCAAAATTAATTCTAAAAAAAAAGAAGGGGGGGGGATAAAGTAATAAATAAATGAGGGTCGTAATCGGTCGATTTCTCTTCCGTAGTCGCGAAAGGGCCCGAGAAAGAGGTCGAGAAAGAGGTCAAAGAAGCGAAAGGAAAGGAGGGGAAGAAAAAAGAGAGAAAGGGGGGGCTTCCGAGGGCCCGAAAGACGGCTGCCACCTCCGGGGTCTCTCTTCCTTCTAAGATCGCGCACGTGCTCGGCTTTCCCACGGCATATTCCGCAGCCGGTCCGCTCCCCGGCCGGCGGTGGGGGGCCCAAAACCGAAAAAGAACCAGAACGGGCCCGAGCCCCATTGCACACGAGCCCATTGTGCCCAGGCACGGGTCGGACCCCCCCGAGTGCACCTTGCCGTTGGCCACGCGACAATTTCTCTCGCTTATCAAGATCCATCTCTGGGCCTTATCGGGCCCTGCTCTCTGGAGAAGGTAAACCGTAAAAGCAAGAGAAATACATCAGGGACTTGGTTCTCCCGAGGATTGCCCAACGAGTCGCCTAGGCTTTCCTCTAGGCACGTGCCATGGGAAGGCGCCTTTCGATTAAAACTTCCACAGAGGAGGGGGAAATGTCAGGCCCATTTAAATGGCGCGAGGGGAGTAACGGAGCTCGACACACCAGGTGAGTTTCGGGCCCGCGACTCCGTGGGAATGTACAATTAGCTCCTTCCGTGGGCCCCACGGGTCACGGGGTCACTCGTGTATGCCGAGAACAATGCCCATTCTTGGAGGCGTAAGGCCCCCCGCGAAGTTGCGGCGATCGCGTCGTGAAGAAAAAAAAAAAGAAACAGCGGAACGCAGGGCCTTGTTTTGCCTCCCAAGGGGCCCAAACTGAGAGTTTCCGCTAATGCCCGCTAATGGGCGCAAAGTGGTCCGAGTTCTCGAGCCGAGTTTAATCACACCTCGCGGGGGCGTGTGCCCCGTATCACGTGCAAGCCCCCCACGGTCCCCCCAATTTGTTATCACGAGCCGCCTAATTCGGGCCCCCACGTCGCCGCTTTCGAAAGCGGACGCGTGCGAACGCAACGACAGGGGGTCGGTGTCCGGAAAAAGGGGAACTCGAACTCCGACCCGGAGGGGCCCAGAGCTCCCCCTGGAGTCTCACGGAACTCGTCGACGGCGCGTGGCCAAACCGACGATATCAATTGACATAACACGTGTCCCGGCGTATTGACGCGCAGTCAACGCCGACGAAACGTGGCCCTGCCGCGTGTCCCATTGTGGTGTCTCGGCGTTCTCCTTTTTTTCCTCTCTTCTTTTTCCGAGGGATTTCGCCCTCTTGGGCACGAGCCATGGATGTACCGAGGTCCGACACGATGCACTCCACTCGTGAGGTCCATTTTCGAGATAACCGGATACCCCTTGACGTTTCGTCCCCCAGTTGACCCGGGATACAGGGGTGAACCTTGCGGCCTCAATCCATGCCCAGCGACGATATCGATTCTTGATACGTTCAGGATGAATCGGGGGGTGAATCCCCCGAATGCACCCCCACTGGACATCGCATTTCCTTCTCAAGATCCTCATCCCGGAATTTTTCTCTCTTCACAAAATGACGAAAAGAAATTATCTTCAGAGCGACGTAACCAGGTCGCGAATCTTCATCACAAGCACTTCCACCGGATATCGCAGCTTCTTCTCGAGGTCCTCGGTTCTGGATTCTTCTCTCTCTCTCTCTTCGCAAAAAGTCACTAAAAAATTATCTCCTCGGCGACGTGACCAGGGGTACGAACCTGGGCTCGACGCGCGGATAATTGCGCTCCCCCCGCGAGAGCGGCCTTAACTCGTTAAAGACACGTTAGAGACGCCGGCAGGGGCCCGGGGAAACGAGCCGCTCGTGTTTGTGCTCCCTCGATGGGGCGAAACTGCAGGAAGCCGAGGGACCGAGGGGGACACGGCAACGCGCGATATAAAACGCGCGCCCGGCGTAATTGTCCGGTGCAAACGACGCTTAAGCGAGCCGCGCCCGAGGGCGGGACGCAGAAAATGCGCCGCGCAAAAACCCTGCCGCGGAAAAACGAGAAGGTGAACTGCGCCGGTTCCGAGACGTCCGCGGTTAGGCGCGACGTCGGAATAGGCTCCGTAACAAGGAAAGACACCATAAGAAATAGCCCTCCCTCCGGAAAGTACCCCAAACCATGTAAGATAATGTAGCGCATCTCAGGATTAAATGTAACAGAATTTCCCCCCGCGGCTTAATAAGCATGGAAAAGGATTCCATAAAACTTGATACTCTCCAATCCCGAGAATGATGAAAAAATATCTTTCATCCGATTTAACGCGCCAGGACATACTTCGCTAGGTGAACGTCACGGTACCGAGACACGCGCCTATACATGTACTCTGTGAAACTCCCAAGGAAGGTATCCCAGATCGATCTCTCCGATTTCATTTCATTTATAATATGTTATAGTAAACTAAAAACTAAGCGACACGTATTTTTTTTTTATCTGCCATTAAGCACTGTAAGGGGGTTAAACCACCATCCAAAGTAAGGCCTGTGAGAGGTGGCTCGCCCCTTGACATGCCTTACTTTGGATGGTGGTTTCACCCCCTTAAAGTGTTTAATGGAAGATAAAAAAAAATACGCGTCGCTTAGTTTTTAGTCTATTATAACATATTATAAAAGAAATCAAATCGGAGAGATCGACCTGGGATGACTTCCTTGTCAGTCGATTAATGAATAAATCCTGGTCAGTCTTCCTGGATTCGAGTACTCGCGTGGAGAGAGAACCCTTAATGAGTTTCGGCCTTGTAGGGGATTATGGGGTGGGCTTCCGGCATGACTCATAACCTCCATATTCATGGGGAAGTCAGGGTGAGATGGAAGTGGCGATCCTAGGGTGGATTCCGCGATAGATGGCGGAAGGACGAGCCGGGTCCAGAGTCAACCCACGGAGGCACCTTTAATCCCGCCAAGGATCGTCCTAAGAGCAGGGGGGGGGGCGACTTGTGCCTAGCACGCTCCACGGGAGAGAGAGGGAAGCTGCGAAAGAGAGACAGCTCGGACGAGATCCCAAGGAGAAGGACGACCCTACGTGAATCCCCAAAGTGCGAGAGAGAAGGGGAGAGAAAAAGCGACTAGACGCGAACCGGTTGCCGGAGAGACGAGTTAGAAAAAGATGGAGACCGCTGACAAGCCGGCGCGTATCGCGGGGGGAGAGAGAGAAAGAGAGAGCGATGGGGGGCGACGATAAGAGCGAGGGAGACAGAGGGAAGCGTATCGGGGAGTCGCGAATGGACGAAGAGGAAAGAGAGAGAGATACAATCCGTGACTGCAGGAAACGGAAGGAGCGAGGAACGGGAAGAGAGGGAGATAGAAAACGACAAAGACGGAGAGCGATGGCTCTAAGTTAGTTCAAGTTGATAGAGCTCATGAGAGAGAGGAGTGAAATCGCGAAGTGCGAAGATCGGTTCGCGACCAGTGGGTGCGACAAGGACGCGCTTATGCGATTCCTCCATAAGGACGACCACCTCACCCTCTCTACGAAGGCAAACGAGAGGTTTAGGGTGAGAGAGACGAGAGGATGCGGTCGATCGTTGAGTGGAAGAGGAGAGAGAGCGTGTCCGCTCCGAGCGTGCCGAGCACGCGCGGGGGAGAGACGGAGCTATACCCTCCACCATTCGAGAGAAAAGGGAGGCGATACCCGCCCGTATCCGTGGTAGGGCGCGAGAGCGACGCTCCTATGCCGAGCCCATGCATCAGAGAGAGAGGTACGACCTCGGGCAACCAGGTTCGGTATTGCGACAAGGAGCGCGTGACACCGGGGGACCCCGCGTCCGACAAGGACGCGTTTCCGCGGCGGGACAAGAACTTGCATAAATTTGACACACTGATCCAGACATTGTAACTAAGCAGCAGTCCTCGATTTCCCTGGTTGGGACTGACAGTCGGAAGATTTCAATTAAGATTAAATCGAGCATTCTCCCCCGTGCGACAAGATTCGCCAATTAGGAGTACCATCGCTCACACATAACCCACCGTCCCTAGTGTGGATTTTATCATAGTGGTCAGTCGCTTCCGGCATTTGCGATATAAATCGAGACGCGCGTCGATCGGGGCAATTCGCAGGGTGCAAAAAGTGTCGCGGCAAAGTGGCCGCAGAAGCGAGACGGCTCGTCCCGAACTCGCTATTCGGGTTTGAGTCTTAGCGCGGGAGGACAAGGACGAAAGAGGTCTCGGGACCCGGGGATAGTAGGCGCGGCCGACAAGGACGGCGATACGGTGACGACGCGGTCGGTGTGGGCGCGTGTCTGGCAGCTGCCGCTTACAGGTGGTGCGCTCGCCTTGGGAACCAAGCTCCACGGAGCGTTCCCACGGAAAGGCGCATCCCCACCGGACCGCCGCCCCCTCCCCTGTCCCTTCCGGATCCCCTGGCCGAGGAGGGGTATATAAAGCTCGTGCGCAGCCAGGGGACGCCATAATCACTGCGCGGAGCTCCCAGGGCGTACACGTCGTTCCTAGGTGCTCTCAGAACCGTGCACGACACGCGCCGTAATTCGCCAGGAATAACCGCAATTACTGCAATTATCTCGGTGACCACGAGACTCGCTCGTCCAAGTGCAATCGACACGTGGTGTGACCCCAGTGTGACCATGCAGATGCACGAGCAGATCCTCGCCGACGGGCAGGAGCAGCCCATCTCCAGGACCTATCAGTACAGAAAGGTAGGTGTCTCGATCCTGGTGGTTCTCGAATGATAAGATAAACCGTGTGTGCCGTTCCCCGCGTTTCTTCTTCTCTTTAAGCGTTCGATCCTAACCACTCGGTTGTTCCCCAGGTGATGAAGCCGATGCTGGAGCGCAAACGCCGGGCCCGGATCAACCGGTGCCTGGACGAGCTGAAGGACCTGATGGTGACGGCTCTGGCCGGCGACGGCGAGAACGTGGCCAAGCTGGAGAAGGCTGACATCCTGGAGTTGACGGTGCGCCACCTGCACAAGCTCCAGCGGCAGCAGCGTCTCTCGGCGAACCCGGTGATCGACGCCGACAGGTTCCGGGCGGGGTACACGCACTGCGCCAACGAGGTCAGCCGCTGTTTGGCGGCGACCCCGGGGGTCGACGTGGCCCTAGGCACCAAGCTGATGACCCACCTGGGTCATAAGCTCAACTCCATGGACAAGACGGGTCCGTTGACCATCCACGTGGCCAGCTCTCCGCAGGCCTCGCCGACCTCTGGGGCCAGCGACGTCGGCAGCGAGGACTACTCCATGCCGCTGACCCCTGCGTCGAGCCAGCCATCGCCGGTCAGGACGGACGTGGAGGCAGCCAGCCACCAGGGCCTCCTCCAGGTGGCCAAGTCGGCGGAGCCCGTCTGGAGACCCTGGTAGACAGAATCCGGTGATCCGTGGATCGTGGCAATATCCAATGGGAACCGCCTCCAACACGTGGCGGGGAGGGTCCTGGAGTGAATCCGAAAGAAGACCCCAGGACGCGGTGGCAATATCCAAGTGAAACGCGCCGATGAGGGCGGCTGATGAAGAGGATCTCAGCGAGTGGTCCAGTCACCCGACAACCGCCTGCCCAGTTGGATACGCGATCCAAATACTTGGCGACGCAATATCCAACATCCTGGGCACCGCGCCATCGGCGAGGAGGACGTCGTTCATCCCGGTGACAGCATATCCAGGGTGAAAAGTGATCCAGAGGATGCGTCTCGGAACTACCCGAGGTCCTGCAAGCCTTCAGAATTGAAGGAAAGGCGGGATCGACCATGAGACTCCTTTTGGATCCACTGGAAGCTGGAGGTGTCCTGGAGAATCCGACGATTGCGACCAACGTGCCCAGCCGCTCCTCCGGACGCGAACCAAGACTGTTCTTGTTTTACTGTTAACTTCTCCACTTTGTTTTTCACCCTCACTCTTAAATGTAGCTTTAAGGGGGTTTAAGACTTGCTCAAAGGAGCCGGAAGGGATGGGTCGAATTTCGCGACTAATATCGGACTAATATCCGACATCGAGAGATCCCGTCTCTCCTCTTAGGGTGTCCAGGGCGCGAATAGAGCGCGTTAGCGGTCGAGCTTTAATTTCGTAAGAGTTACTTTTTTTTTTCTTCTTTTTTTAATCTATTGTTTATATATATCACACTTTTATCGAGAAGCCAAGAGGACGGAGAGCAGCGCGAGTCTCTTGGAGACCTAGTTGCGAATACGTGCATATATTACATATACATATATATATATATTTTTTTAAGCCACATTCCGCGCGTTTCACCCCCAACACGTTTCAGTGGTTGTCGGTAATTGGACTTGCGCTGCTTTCGGCTCGACAGATTATTATTTAGATATATTTCCGTCGACAGAACGGATCCAAGTTGGCGCTACTGATCGCGCCGCGCCATGAATACGTCTCTCATCAGCCAATCGACTTCTACCGGTGATCCAAGAATATCGATCTATCGGGGCCACTAAATAGCGAATGCCTTGTAGGTCTCTACCCTTATTCGCCGTGTCTTTTCTATTACGACCGAATGCCGCGCGATCACGGACGCGCCGAGGACCATGTGATATAGAGAAACGTGTACCTGTGATATTTACTGTCGTAGAGGTAGCCGAACGATGGGCTATTTTTTAATAAAGATTATTCGTCGACAACGAACCGCCTCGCTCTACTGGCTCAGTTTCTTGCAATCCCCATTCCCCCCGAAAACTCCGCTCTTTCGTTCCAGTTATTAATAAATGGCGGTAAGTCTTACCCGACCGAGCTGGAATCTCGAATTTCATCTTATTTCCCTCTCTCTCTCTCCACGATTCGTTAATCCGCCATTGTTTCCCGGTTTCTCGTGGATTCCCAAGAAAGTAATGGGGGGCCCCCCTAACGTGAAATTCACGACCTGGGGAAGGAACTCTGAATACGGTTAAGCGACGCATCCCCGAGTTCCCGCAGGACTTAATTTACGCTTATGGAGAATTCCGACTCACCGATCACGACCTGGTGCAGCGGCGCCGAGGTGTAACCAAGGTGGAGCCCTTCGCCGTCTCAGCTACCACCTTCCACGAGCACCTGAAACGATCGCAGAATCTTCAGGACGTTAACACAACCGAGTATCTAGAAATCCCTGGTCGGTCACTTACATGCGACCGTTCCCGCAGTAAAGCGCATTTATACTATTCCTCGGCCACGAAACTCCCGACATTTTTCATCCCCTCCAACTTAGTGTCAAGTGAAGTCGCTTCACCCCGAGAGCCTCCTGGCACGTTTTCACAGCCCACGAGGTGTCTATAAATAATCCCTTATAAACTAACCCCGTACCCCCTCCTGCTCGAAATCCTCCTCCGACTCGAAATTCCTCACAATAGAACTCTCTCTCTCTCTCTCTTTCTCTCCCTCTCCTCCTATTTTTTCTTATTTTTTTTTCCCCTCTCGACGAAATCACGATCCACCCCCAGCGGGTTCGGCGAGGCCGGGGAAAAAGTCCGCTTGCGATCCGCTCGAGCGGATTTTCCGTGACTCCACTCGTAGGAAGAACCTTAACGTCGAGGGATTATCAACCGTATCGCTTGGGTGCTTCCGCGAGATTCGCGAAATCGGGGAAACGCTCCCTCGGCGATCGATCGACCAACGACCCCCCGCGAATCGTTTCGTGACCGAAGAAACGCCGACGACCGTCCTCGGCCAATCGAGACCGGAGAAATCGCGGAAACGCTTAATCGTCGGCGATTATCGCGTGACGTAGTTCATCTTCCAGAAACTGAGTAATTTAAAAATATCCGCTCGGAATGCCCTAGTCCATGTTTCCACGCGATACACTTCGAAATTTCGGTATATAATTGAGGTTAGGATTTTGGTACACGAGTGCAGGGATTTTCTATCCTGGATATTATTTCAGGTTTACTGATTTTCTATCGCGTGGTTGGACCCCAATTGGGGGTTACTTGTGGTAGGCTTAATATCGCATATTATATTAATGAAAAGCGGTGGATATGGTATAAATACTTCTGCGGCTCCTCGGTCACGTGGGTCACGTACAGTGGCGAACATGAATGCCTTCCCACAATACATTGGTAGCACGTTATCCATAAGGAAAGCATTCATGTCCGCCAGTATACGTCCCCTGAAGTTAGCCGCGATCAACCTTGATCTTGTTTGCATCGGGCCTAGATCGGCCAACCCCAAAGGGAGTTCCCCGAACTACCGGATGGGCACAAATGGCCGAACAAAAGGGTATAAATAAATCCCCTCCTATGTTACTCCTAACCTAGAATTGACGCGCCGCGTGGCCGAGACGCGAATGCTCGAATTATCGCGGGGCTTCTCTACTCCGATGGACGACTCGCTCCCGACTTTCGTCGCTTTTATTTCATAGCCTAAACGTGATAGGTAACGAATGAAATTCCTAACGATTTCTCATCGTTCGAAGGAAATATAGATCGGCATTTAAACAATTTCGAGCAGCGCCTCCTGGTTAAGCCTGATAACCCAGGCCTGAAAAACCCAGAAATGACCAGGGTTCAATGGAGAAATTTAATTCTAACCTTTTAGGGGATTGCTTTAACCTCTTCGCGACTGATCACTCGCCCTAGGAATAAAATATCTCCTCGAGGACATGTTTTTTGGAACTCTTGTTCAACCAGAGGTCGAGTCGTTAACGCGGCTTCTCTCTAGTTTCCTCGTTTCCTTGTTGGGCCACTCGCGCCATATTTACTCCTTGTGAAAATTCCAACCGTCTGGAGTGTCGCCCCCTTCACGCGCGGGCAATTCGAGGAACTCCCAGGCTAGTGACGAGAAGTCGCAAGTCCGCAATCGGGCAAAGGCGTAACACGTGTCCGCGGATAAATGGAGGTTAACGTGTCCCTAAATCGGCGCAGGACGGGTCTGAGAGGCCCAGAGCTGGGCCCGTGGGTCCCAGAGAACGCGGCCGGGCCCCGCGATGCCTGGGGATCTCAAAAACGGGGCCTATTTGCCAAAGCTACAATGTTATACTCACTTTTACCAGAGACGAAACCGCCACCCAGCTGTAGCACGTGCTCCCGGCCCGAACACACATGGCGCTTCGCCGTCATCTTGCGGCGCTTTCCCGAAGCTTCTCGCCCGTTGTCGTTGGTAATGTCGCGACCGCCAACCTCATCTTTACTGCCAACTCTTCGCCAGACATAAAAAATGTATAAATCTATTATTCCACGTATCACACATCACCTTTTCGTTTCGCCACCTTGAAAAAATCGGACGTTTCTAACGGTTTAGATTATGCACGAAATACAACTTGTCATGTCTACTGTTTTAATAAAATTGTTTTGGTTTTATTCGCTTGAGATTAGCAGCCCTTGATACTCTTTTCAGAATAATCTCAACTCCCGGAATGTCGGTTCAGAGAATTCTACGTGCTAATTTTTCGAGGATGAACTGTGATGCGTTTTATGTTTGCGCTTAAACTTTAAAAAATGACCGTCTAATTATGAGGTTAAGTGCGCTTTGGTCATTCGATGACATGTATCGTGTAGTTTGAAATTGTGGAATAAATTCTTGGGGTATCGTGTATGAGTTTTGTGTCTTTATTAAATCCTTTTATTGCATCGACTTCTGCAAGTTTATTTCAGGAAGTGCTGTAGCTTTATTTGCATCTTTTTGTGTTACTCTGTATATTGATACTAATTGACTGGTTGCTAGGAGACCTGTATAGAGATAAACATATCCTGTGGTTCGATATCGTAGAGGGGTTGATATAATTAAAGTAAGGTTTTTCTATATTTGCCGTGTTTTCAAAATGGTTAGAAGAGAAAAAGATTCAGTTAAAATGCACACAACATATTACTTGAAGCCTGGACAAACGTTGAAAAATACTAAAGTGAGTAAATACATTTTTGCATAATTGGTTAAATACGTTGTATTGATTTAATATTCTACCGTTAACAGGCATCGGAGAGGGCTCTCGCCCTGGTTATTAATAAAAGAGCGTTCCAGCAATTTGTAGATCATGTTACAGAGGATGAACGGAATGCCGAAATTGCAAAAAGGGAAGCGGAAAAATTACAAGAGTTCAAGAAAGCGACGTACGAAATGTCCAAAACCTGGGACAACACGATAGAGGTCGATTTTTTTCTTATCACTCAATGGTAGATATAATAATTATGTAATGTTATTTAATACTATTAATTTCAGAATATTCAACGGAGGAGAAAAGATGAACTACTAACCAAACGGAAACGAGAAGAGGCTGAGAGAATGCAATTCGCAAAGAAAATGGCTGCAAAGAAAGCGGCTGAAAGAACTGAAATAGTCAAAGAAGCGAAGAAATTACTCTTGTACAGAAAACCGCAGTGTAGAGCTATCAATCAAGCCCTTTTAGCTTCCGAGGCAAGTATAGCCAAAATTAATTCAAGCTTTGAAACAGTGGAAAATATTTGGTTCTTTCAGTGTTTCAGAGAACTCGAAGCTCAGATTGCATTTAAAAAGACTCTAGAAGGAATTGATAGAGAAAGAGATAAAGAATATGTAAATTTAATGAGAAAGGATGTAGAGAATTATAAAGAAGAAGAGAAAAAAAAGGCCGAGGAAGTGCTAAAAAAAAATCGAACACATGGCATACAACTGAAAAGACAGTATGTAATATTTTAAATGTTATTAAATAAATAAGAAGTCTAATCTCTATTTCTTAGGATTGAAATATTGGGAAGTGACTTAAAAAGGATGGAAGCAGCGGAATACGAAGCTCAGAAGCGAGATTTAAAGATCATGGAAAATGAACTGAACCTCATAAAACAATGCGAAGCAGACGAAGTACAAAGATTTATTTACATTTGAATTATCCCAATATTTGAACGCAGCTTGATTTTTAAATTAAATAAAACCTTGCCTAGGCTGATAAGAAAAAGAAGATGACGAATCAAATGCTCTTAGAGGCTATAGAACAGAAAAAAGCCTATGAATCGGAAGACAAACGAGCCGAGGAATTTCAGACTAAAGCACTGGAAGTGTATCTAAGATCCAAGAAACGAATTCAACAGATGCACAAATCGCTCATGAAGGAAGAACAAGAAGAACGAATCCGTCGTGCCGAGAATATTGGTAAGAACTTGTTTTCTTTTTTTTTATCAGCTTCAAAATACCGAAGTCACAAATTCTATTATAATTTCTAGTGAAGAAATTGGCTGAGCGGATGAAAACGGCACAGGCTTCTGAGGAAGAAAAGATTCAAAAAGTGGCAGAAGAAAAGGAAGCACTGGAACGACAGAAGCTCGAAGAGCAGAAAAGATACGACGAGAAGTTGAGAGCTGAATTACTGGAATTCAGGAAGCAGGCAGAACGGGAGAGACGTAAACGAGAGCAGGAAGAAAAGCAGCTAAAGGACTGGGAGACTTTACAGCGGTACAAAAGAGACGAGTACAATAAACGAGTGCAGCAGGAAGAGAAGAAGAGACAATGGGACAAGAAAATGCAGACTGCCAGAACCTTCCAGCAACAAGTCGTAAGAATAATTTTATACTTCCGTTATCTTTCTCGGTTTCCACTTCCACTTATCTTAACAGTTTCCTAACCTTAAAATTACTTACAAGATTTACTGTCAATTAACCTGAGTTGTATCTGTATTTACTAACAGATGGAAAAGGAGGCAGAGCGACGACATGAGGAGATGTTGAACGACGACTCAGCTGTTATTAAAAAAATGATTCAGAGCACCAACGATAGAGTTTTGGCATACGGTCAAGAAGTCATCGAAGAGTCGAGAGGCGTGAGGCCTCTCTTCCCGATTTTAAAAGTCATCGAAGTAATTCTTTAACATTTAATTCCTGTACCTTAACATCGAAGTGGTTAACATCAAATAGAGCTGTTAACTTCTTATTTTTATTTTTAGGGATTCAAAAAAGAAATTGGAATGCTACCAATGAAACAACACGTGGAATTGGCTTCGGAAGCACAACCGAAACTAAGGAGGTCGCGGAAACCTCAAACAATTTGTAGTAACCCTATACCCGAGCACCAAATACATTATTTATAAACCTTCGTCTTTTATTAACTCAACATTCTACGACTGTGATTTTATTTGGGAAGAGGAATTTATAATGGAAGGTGGACTGCTATTTTGACTGCAACTTTGAAGGCTTAATTTGCTTGACGTATATTATGCTGGTACCATGTATCTGAATAAATGATAGACTGAAATCAACAATACCATATTGTTTAACATCTGGGATTACCATATTGTAAAGCCAAGGAGAGACTGAAACGTAAAGGTAGAACTACAATAATTTAATAATTGATAATGATGATTAATAATACATTATTTAAAAAGGAACTTACTTTAAAGCCGTGTAAAATAACGCTTTTGCTTTCGGTAACATTCTCAGATTGATTCTCCTGATCGGTGGATAAAGGCACCTGAATGGTGCTTCTCGAGGTGCTGAAAATTCGATTTCGAATTTCCTGAAGTCTCTTCTGTTCCTTTTTGGATAAAAATCCATTTTTAGGTTCATACCCCAAAATTCTGTATTCTCTGGACTTGCTTAGAAAATCTTGAAATTGCTCTACCATGACCAACAGGTCCTTAATCTCTCCTTCTTGCTTCAGTAAAGCTTGTTTGTATTTAAGAATCTAATAAAATGCGAATATATCAGATTTTGCAAATACAGTATAATTCTGAATAATTTATTTGGGATTAAACGACTAGCCTCGGAGTGCATCAAATCCTTGTACAAGTCTCTGTCGAGAGGACTGACTCTGAAATCAGGATTTTGGTTCGAAGCAGCCAAATGTGTAGTCTTGACTTCGTCTAATTCCTCCAAAGCGAGGCGCAATTCCTCAACTTCTATTCTGTAGGCTTCAGCTTGGCTGATCTTTGATTTCAGAGTCTCCAAGTCTTCTCCCAAAGAAGAATACTCAATCAGCTACAAAAGAAAAGAGCATTAGTCAGAGTCTTATTTTTGTCTCACTGAGAATTCGTTACTGGCGATTCTTGAGTTACTCTCAATCGAAGCTGATCCCTTTCTTCGACGACGAGACTAACTGGCTCCTTTATGATTTTTTCTATCCGGGATTTAAGTCGATTCCTTTCCTCGGTTATTTTCTTCAACTCTAAACGCAGCACTTTCAATTCATTGTCCAGCTCGAGGCAACTCTCCGTCAAGGCCTTAACTTGCTTCCTCAAATCCCCTGTTTCTTCGACCACCTTTTCAAAGTCTTTCAGCCTTTCCGTCAGTTCTTATTAAGAGAAATCATCGTCACGAGCTTTTTCTAACATCTACTTGTTTACAAAAGACCATCTCGAGCACCATTATTCTGTATCCGCAGTTTGACGAAGTCTTCGCTGAACTTCCCCTTTTCGTCCTTCGTCATGGCCACCAGCGACATTTCCCCTCTTTCAACCATCTCCAACAGCTTCAAATTATTTTCTGGACCAGACATTACCTGGTCCCGGTCGAAGTTTTCGATCTGCAATAAAAATTTAAACACAACTTGTGTGACCCAATGAGCATACAAAATTATTTCTGTACAAGGGAGATTACCTTCTTCGCGATGCAATTATTTAGAGCGACTTCCTTCTCCTTCAAGGAGTCGTATCGTTGCTGAAGAGTGTTAAGGTTCATCTTAAGCTGACCGACCTCGACGTGGAGCTGCATTTTCTTCCTTTCAAGTGCCAATAAATGGGTGTAATATCGTCTTTGCCCAGCCGGCAGGGAATAAACCCTTTCGATAATGTGGAGTCTTTCTTCTTCGACCAAGCCCAGCCTCTTCAGCTGGATCCTCAAGGAATCCACTATCCTCGCCAATTCCTTCGTGCCCAGCAACATCCTGCCGAAATTGTTCCCCTTAAAAAAGGGAACACCGAGATAAATGTACCAATATGCGTAATAAATATGTAATAAGTCTATTTCGTAGCCGAAATACTTGGGAATCCCCTATGTTCTTCAAGGCTTCCTCGGTAATGGCTTCGTATCCTTGGCAGGAAACGCTCTCCATCGCATGTACCAACTTTTCCTGGTTTAGAAGTAAACTTATAATTCTATTTAACATGGAGAAGTGCATGTCGTGTCATTACTTGATGTTTTGTCAGCCTTTCAAGCCTCGCCAGGGTCGCCATTAAATCATCCTTGATTAATCCTTGCTCGGTTGGCAGATCATTGTCGTTCTTAAATTTATCCAAAGCCATCGAGAGACTTTCGTTCGCAGCCAAGGAGTCGCCATCTTGGCACTGATGAAATCTTGTTAATTGGAGAATTTTCATTTTGCCTACATTAAGTTCGAACGGGGAGCCTCACCGTGGTTTTCAGCTGCATGAGCATGTCGTTGTTGATCGACATTTTTAAGAAATGGTAAATCTGCTCTCTCTGGCAGTTAAGCATTTTTTGCAAATTTCCGATGTGCTCATCCTTCCGAGCGAGTAAACTCTTGACGTAACTGTCTGCTCCGTCGAAGCTTAAATTATTCTCCGAATTCGGCTCCTGCAATGGTACGGAATACGGTTAAATGATGAAACATTTGGAGAGATTTCAACATTCAATGCTGACCTGCACGATTGGCTTGGACTCCTTTTCTACTGGTGTACATTCGTATGTGTTGCGAGGAAGCAGCCTCTTTTCATCCCCGCCATCTTGAAATCTTTCGCAATTCCTCAGCGAAGACTTCGAGTCTTCGAACTCGTCGTCGCCGCTGCTCGATGAGGTTTCGAACTCGTCCAAAGTCGTCCAAGACATGTTAATTCGAGATTAAATTTTCTCCTCGATGTCTGTCGATGATTTCCCTCTCTACTTGCGGTGGACGGAAGGAAATGGACAGTCAAAAAGCGATGGAGAAAGATGGGGCGCACGCGAAATTCGTTTCACGCGGTATTTCCCATGCCCGAAGGGGCATTCACGTTACATGCTCTGAAATTTCGTGCAATTCCGAATTTGCCAAAATAGGAAAACGGATGTGATCGGAAGTTGAAGGGAATAAAAAAAAAAGAAGTGAATTTCAACGGTTTAACTGCGGGTGCTTGATTTGTAGAAATGTTGAACCGCCTGAAACGATACGGAGGTCGTTCAAGTGAAAGCTTTGAAAATCGCTGCCGACCTTCTCGACGGATGGACTAACCTGAAAACCAGCTTGGATTTGATAATACACATTTAAAATAGAAATTATTACTGGGGCATGTTTTCAAATGCATACACGTGAGTATCGACATGTCTGAAAAAGAGGAAGCAAAACCGAAGCCCCTTCCACCTGTTGTTAATTTCCTAAAGGCCGGGCTGTCAGGGTAAGCGCGAGGAACATTTCCCGAAACTTCCACATATCTTGAAGGCACAAATTGTATTTTGAAATTCCTATTAAGAAACTAATGATTACTCCACTCCTACCAGAATGTGCGGTACTTGCATTTGCCACCCGATGGACGTGATGAAAAACCGAATGCAAATGTCTCCGGGTGTCCCCGTGTCGGAAATTATCAAGAAAATCTCGAAGACGGAAGGAATTTTCAGTTTCTACTCAGGACTTTCGGCAGGCCTCGTGAGACAGGCCACCTACACAACGACCAGGCTGGGAATTTACAACCAACTGCAGGATTACTGGAAGTAATCTCATTTCAAACGTTTCCAAAGTCCTGCTCCACCTCGCAACTTCGAGGCCCGAAATATCCGGTTTCAGTTATTTATTAGCAACGACCGCCAGCTAATACGATAGATCTATGGTGATCGATGCGAAATCTCTATGGATTTTCAATTTCAGAGCGAATTACCCGAGTCCTCCCAATTTTCGGGTTTTGTGCGGCATGGCGATGTGCTCCGGCTGCTGCGGAGCTTTCGTCGGCACTCCAGCAGAGGTCGCCCTGGTCAGAATGACTTCGGATGGACGATTACCACCGAGTAACGGAATTGTCCCACTTATGAAAACGTATAAATTGCTGTAGCTGTACACGTAACTGTATCCTCTTCCTGCCAGCTAGGTGAACGAAGGAATTATAAGAACGTATTCGACGCTTTCTTGCGAATCGCCAGGGAAGAAGGACCGACGACACTTTGGCGTGGAACCGTCGCCACAGTTGGTAGAGCAGCCGTCGTCAACGTCTCCCAACTGGCAACTTACAGCCAATCTAAACAGATCATCTCTACCAAATGTATCTCAATTTTGAACTGATTAACCTAATCTTCAACTACTCTAAAAACAAAACTCTTCCCCAGTTGGCGTCCCTGAAAGCCTGGTGTTGCATTTCTACGCATCCATGGTGTCGGGCTTCTTCACCGCGTTCAACTCCATGCCCTTCGACATTGCGAAGACAAGGTACGCAAGGTAAACCCTAGTTAACATTAATTTAAAGGGACCTTCTGTTCTTCGCAGAATCCAGAATTCGAAATCATCAGGCAAACCACCAGGAGTGATCACCGTGATTATGGAAATCACGAAGAAAGAGGGAGTCCCAGCCCTTTGGAGAGGATTTTGGCCCACCTACGGTAGAATAGGACCCATGACTATGATCGTCCTCATCCTGAACGAACAGTTCACACATTTATACAGAGCAATCTTTAAGTAAAATTTACTTTCGGACTCCTGATATTCAGCTTCACAATAAAATGACAGAAAGGGAATACCCCAGCCTCTGTTTCCAGAGTTAGAAGTGCCTAAACTCGACGAAACATTTGTCGACGTTTGCGTTGCGATAGTCTAAAGCCAGTTGAGAGAAGAGTGAAGCAGCCTTCAGCATGTTGGTCTCCGTCTTCTTCGACGTGGAGCTGAGGGCTCGGGAGAATTTTCGCAGGATCTTTTCAGTCATCGAAAGAGTCGTCTTCATGGCCGGGCTGATGCAGACCATGGTCCCGGTTAACCTGTGTTCTCCATCGTGCAGCAAGAAATGGGCCCCTTGCAGTTTTACTGGGTCGAACTTGATCTGCAACAAGGAGTTGTCAATACTTGGGCTCGGTTCCTAATCGTTTCCGCAAAATTTATTTTGGTCTACTAACTCCGGAACTCTCTGCGATCAGCTTCAACCTCGGCCATTTGTAAGAACTCAGGGCCCCATGGAACAATTGCTCGATCCCGACTGCACAACGTTCGGAAGTGTCGTCCCAAGTTGGAAGCTTCACGTCCGACATCATGACAGAGGATTGTCTCCTGCGAGATTCATGGGTGACATCAATGCCCGCCTCGAAGGTGTTGGCATCGACATCATAACTTCCTTTGATGGCGAAGATCACCCAGTCGATGAAATTCTGGGAGTAGCTGTAATATGGGTCCATGTCCACCACTAAGACCTTCATTTTCTCCTGGTTCTTCGTGGGATAACAATACAAGTCTATGGCCAGATAGCCGAAATAGCCCTTCTCTTGAAGAGCCCTTGAAATCTCATCGACTGATGGCTTCAACTCTGCGACGTTCATCGAGCTCATCGGGAACATGAAGCCAAATGTTGAGAAGTGAGCGTCCTCTATAAATTAATAAATGTCATTAATTTGTACCATTGCACATAATGTTCAGGGATCGTTCAATGTTAAGTACCTAAACGTATCTGGTCAGCAGTGCCCGTCCACTCTGGTTTCCTCCCAGAACTAAGTCCAGGGATAAAAAGGTTAACGATCACCGAAGTGTGGACTTTCTTGCTGAGTACAGCTTGTATCAGACACCCAACCTTGACCATGTGACTGTAGAACTCCTTCCAAGACCTAAATAACGATGGGATCCTGGCAGCCATCGAAACGACTCTAGGCAAGTGTCCTGCCAACATCCTCTGGAACTCCGACCTCAATTCAGGTTCAGCCTTCCACCTGTCTCCGTAAAATTCAGCCTGCTTCCTCAATTCTGGCATGAAAGGGACCGTTATGTGATTTATAAGAAAGATGGCAGAGTTCTGCTTAGAAGCAGCCAGGTTGAGCTTGATCAGCCACATGCAGATCTCGCAGTTGGAGCAGATCAGTTCAGCCAGGTTCGAGCAAAGACTGTTGTAGTCCTTGATGTTGGAAACGCAGACAGGCTGACTGAGGCCTAACTTTTTTATGAAGTCCGACACGAAGGACTTGTTCAGGAGATCCTGCTGGAGCGCCATTTCTGGACATAAATAGGGGATCTTCAGGTTCCCAGACACCCTGACATCGCACTCGTCCATTATCCAGGGCAGGATGTACGCGGGTTTATCAGAGACTTTCTGCAAGATAGCTTCCATGGTATCCTTGGAACAATGGAGAATCCTGGAGACGTTCAGAGATCGGTTCTCAAAGGTCTTTGCCTGAAATTCATAAGATCGTGAGGGTGGAACGTTTCTTTAAGAAGGCGTTCCCCTCACCTCTGATAAACTCAGAAACGTAATTCGTTCTCGATAGTTTCCTCCAGGTTGAACAGACTCTAAGATGTCGTAGTACATGGCCAGAAGGTTCTGCGTCGCTTTCACTGGTAGAATGTAGATGACCTCGGCGTTGGGATTCCTCAGGAAGGATATCTTCAGGCTCATAAAATTCTGCTGAATTCTGAACACCTTAGCTGGCAAGTTTCTCCTGGCGTCAAGACGATAACCCAGTGATGGCAGATGGACTACCACGTGAGGCCCCTGAATTAATTTATCAAAATCCCGGATCAACTCCTTCATCAGTTCTTTCGTTTCTGTTAGAGATGTCAGCATTCTTCGCAGATATCGCTCATGCATCTGACGCTTCTTCTTCACAACGATCCACGAACACCACAAGACACTTGCTGCTATATATTTGCATTCTGACTCCTTCAACCTTTTGCGGGACTAATGAAAGAACCGCTCCAGTTATTAAATATAATTATCATGTTATGTTAAAGCAGTCGAATTTGTATGGCAATTACTTGATGACCACGCCAGGTTTTTTGTATAATCATGGCGGCTACGTCTTTTCCATCCATCTCATGCATTTGTGGTACCCAACTATTCAACCACTTTGCTTCATTTTGAACGGCCAACAGCTGCAGCAAATCCCTCTTCGATAAGGTAAAATTCACCCCGTTCTCTGGGATTTTTGAAAGGAACTTGAAGGTTGACGTTGAGTTTAAGCGGATACTGGGAACCCTACGATTCCTCAGCAACTTTTCGATTTGTGGACGCAACACCAAACACCACTTGGAACGCAATTGCCTACCATGAGCATCCAACAGTTTCGTCCAGATTGGGCAATCTTTAAATGAAGCATCGACGAATTTCAAATAACCAATTTTTTTTGCCTCCTCAACGGAAGGAGTGACAAAAGAATCCATTTTCATGACTTTCTCAATAAAATCCCTGTTCGAAGATAAACCGATGGTCGACCTACGACCTTCGAGTGGTTCCTTGAAAGACTCTGCTTCAAAACTGAAATTAACATTTTCTTTTATATTTCTTTTTTGTTAATTCCTTGCAGGAGGAAATTTAATTGAATACTGGGAATCCTACATTGGCTTTTCGATGGATTTCATCCTCGAGAAGGTCTTCATTCGAAGTAACGTAAGTTCTTGCTTGAATTTAAGGTCAGAATCGTCGAATTTCGAGAATCCTGTTTCTTTTGGTCTAGAAATGACATTTCGAGTGGGCTCCAAATTTGGAAGAGCTGTATTTTTCCAAAGACACTTGCAAGATTCATTCCCTTCCTCGTTGAACGAATCAGTGATGTGGAAATTTTGTTTCTCTAAGATTTTTATGATTTTCGCAAAGGGCACACGAGACGGGAGCTGAAGACGTTCCTTCCCCTCAGCTGAAACGTCGGTCATTATTTTTAGATGGTATTCCTGGCAGATTTCTTCGATCTTCATAAGTTCATCTTTTGCGTGATCATAGAAATGTTTGGTCGCTTCAAGTATTGCATCCTCTCCTTTACCTGCATTTTTGCTGTAGGTCCGTAAAATTATCAATTTAAAAACAGTGCTCTATATTACGAAAAAATATTTGGATCCGATTTGAACCTCAATTCCTTCGCAATTTCCTCTTTTCTTTTGGTAATGGTAAGCCTTAGGGCACGGTTTTCTTCCTCCAATGTCAGCAAACTGCTTTGCAACAATTTTGCTATCCGAATTTCATTTTCTCTACCATCTAGTCGTTTTCTGCTTCGAGAAGTCATCATTCATTAATGTTCATGAAGGAAATGGTATGTACATATGTATGTATATACAGCCACGAGAGGTTAATCGGTTTCATTAACCTGCATTAACCGATTGGATGCGATTGCGCGACTCTGCCCGTGAGCAATCTCCCAACTCATCTTTGAGTATGTCTATGCTAAATATGAATCAGTTTCTGTTTATGGCCGCTGAGTAGCAGCACCATACTATGAGTTCAGGAAATAATATTCGTGCTCTCATCTTCTCAATGTTCATAAATTAGTGTGAAAATGGCGGCCGGTCCGATTGCGGAACGTAATCAAGGTAATTTTTAACGATAATACGTTAATATAAAAATTGTATAACTTTATAGCACTTCTCCCAATTAGTAATATTTTCCGTTAATATCAGACTAACCATTGAGGGAGCGCTAAGCCTATAAAAAGTTAATTAACCTAGAATTAGAAGAGAGGTTTTCTTTGCTTGGCATCCGTACTTTAAGGTTTAGACTTTCCAATGATGTGCTAATGATGTCAATGGGTTTGTAGATGCCACGATATATGTTGGAGGTCTTGATGACAAAGTCACGGAGTCGCTTATGTGGGAACTGTTTGTACAATCCGGACCGGTTGGTAAGTATCTTGCAGAGTGTGTATTAGGCCAAGTATAAGTTTAGTTACATTAATGATTGTATTTTTTTAGTTAACGTGCACATGCCGAAGGATAGAGTCACTCAAATGCATCAGGGATATGGATTCGTTGAATTCATGGGGGAAGAGGATGCAGACTATGCTATAAAAATAATGAATATGATTAAGTTTTATGGGAAACCAATCCGTGTGAACAAAGCAAGTGCCCACCAAAAGAATCTGGACGTTGGTGCGAACATATTCATTGGCAACCTGGATCCTGAGGTTGACGAGAAGTTATTATACGACACGTTCAGTGCATTTGGAGTTATACTTCAAACCCCAAAGGTAATTGTAATTCCATATAGTAGAATGTCGTTCAATAAATTTAGGAGCCACGTTCTCATTAAATTTCATTTTTAGATAATGAGAGACCCAGAGACAGGAAACTCCAAAGGTTTTGCATTTATAAATTTTGCATCCTTCGATGCATCCGATGCGAGTATAGAAGCAATGAACGGACAGTACCTATGCAACCGTCCTATCTCAGTGTCATATGCCTTCAAGAGAGATGCCAAGGGAGAGCGTCATGGAAGCGCAGCAGAACGTTTGTTAGCTGCACAAAATCCCTTGAGTCAAGCGGACCGCCCCCATCAGCTGTTCGCTGATGCTCCACCTTTGGCACCTCCACCTATGCCGAACAGTAATGCAGCGCCTCATCAATCATCCCATCATGCACAACACCACGTAATGCACCATGGAATGGTAGTTCCACCACCTCCACCTCCGGCTACACCAGTGGCACCGATGGGTCATCCTCCACCACCGCCAGTGCCTCCACCACCCACAGGATTCCCTCCATCATCTATACCTCCTCCGCCACTACCTCCCATGTCGGTGCCTGCTCATCCACCGCTACCACCAGGAATGCCACCTCCGCTGCCTCCGATGCCAGTTCCAACATCTCAAGCTCAACAGACCAGTGGCAGGATGATGGCTCCTCCTCCTCCACATTGGGGAGTCGGAGGACCGCAACAAGGACAATTCCCACCACCACCTCCTCCATCCTCAACCGGTGGTCCGATGCCATTTGGACAATTCCAGCCACCTCCTCCGAGGCCTCCACCTGGATGGAGGCATCCTCCTCCTCCACCTGTCTCCCAGGGTGGACCTCCGCCACCACCTCCTCCCCAATTTCGACCATCCTTTCCTCCGAGAGGACCTCCTCCTCCACCTCCTCCTCACGATGGAGCCCAATACTAGTGTTTGACTACAATATTTGACCCGACCATGCTCGGTTCGTCTACTGTTGTGTGCATAATTCCTACAATTCATTTTCTACGTGAGTATTCTTTGTAAATGAAACACTGATAATAAATAGTATAATTAATATGCGCTGGAACTCGTGAATTCCATAATTAGCTATGTTTTGTGCGTTTAGGATTGGGAGTAAAGTAAGGATCGCTTCTCCCACGAGTTTATCGATTAGTTTTACGCACTTCACGCGTCTTCTTTCCGTATCCATTAATGCCTGCGCGTACGTAGGGTGACCTAAATTCCTGACGTCATTCATATTTTTATCCTACACGTAGCGAGATTGATTTTAATAAAACAGGGCCTTCGATGGGGGACAGGAGGTCAATGGTAACTGGCTACGGCCGACCGATTCTCCCTCTATTTCGGGGACCTTTTCGTCATTTAATAATAATCAATCGCGATAATGAGCACGATTATGCCCTCCCCTCCGTAAAGAGACTCGATCGACCTAGCGCTTGGCTAAATGCATTTGTCGCAAAACTCAATCGAGTCCGTCTCTTCCTCGTGACTTCAAAATGCAAATGGAAACCAGGGAACGGTTCGGCGGTCCCTTTGTGCTGGTCAATAACTCTGGGGAATTATAGTTCATCGGAATATCGACTTATAGTTGCGCGCAAATAGGGCTGACGTATACGAGGGATCGATCATTCCGAGGTCTCTCTTCCCACCGTCGGCGGCACATTAAGCCGGTAGCGTCGCGACGTCGTTGCACACGTTGCTCCGACGCGAAAATAGTTGTCACCACGCCGTCCCCCGGAGCAGGACGAAAAGGAAAAGAAATCCTCTCGCCGCCCATGAACCCACTAAACCATAAAACGCGAAAATTAAAAATAATACGTACAAGTAAAAATAAAAAGCCGCGCGAGTGGAGCGAAAACAAGTGCTGACCGGCGAAAATAAGCGATAAACAGTCTCTTTCCCCTTGTTTCTTTTTTTAAGACCCAAGGACAACTGTCCGTGGATCTTTTTCCACTCGTGAAGTATCTCGGGGATAAAAAACGAGAGGAGGACTCAGGAAAGCGTCCTGGGGCACGGAGTGTTGGGTGACTTCCGAGGAAAGAAACCAGGGTGGCTCCGTACACCGGAAAGATTCAGAGTTTGTAGTCGAAAATTCATTGAAAAGTCATCCTCCCTGGTTGGCTAATTGGGATTAATTTCCAACGCCCCCCTGGAGGACTTTTGCAGCGGGCTGAGCCCTAGGGAAGTGCGCAGAGTTCCATCGAAGGTTGGGTTGGTTTTAAAGCGTTTCTTCGAACGCTAATGTTAATCAAGGGAAGTGTGCTCGGTGCTTTACGGTTATTTATAAATTACTGACGAAGAAATGGAATGAATTATTCAATATCGAGGCAATGGCACGTCTGGCGTACGAGTGCAATGTTGGCCTTCGAGACAGCGCCGGCAACGACAGCAACGCCGTCCCGTTCGCCTGCACCGCGGATAAGTATTGCTTGTATTGCTGCTGCAATCCGCAATGCTGTTTGCTGGTGCACCGAAGACCGCCCCGGCACTTTTGGGAAGCCTGGTACTTTTGGCTGGGAATTGCATTGCTCGCTCTTTTCCTGATCAGCTCCGTAAGTGGGAATCCCAACAGATTTGGGGACGCCCGCTGGTCCTCGAGTTTAATGCCTTTTTCCCCATTTTGTATTATCTTTTCTTTTTTCTCTTCCGCAACAGGTCAGCAGCTACGTGGTCAGCAATTGTAGACACCATAACCAGAACCTGGGGGACCAAAGTCGGAATAATCGGAGCCCTCCTCGCAGGAACGAGCATGGGAATCCCAGCGAGATCTCCATAAACATCATCGCCACCCCTGGGTTGCTGCCGCAGCACACGAAGATGCTGCTGATGCCTCCTCAGTCCAGCATGGCGCACATGAGTTGGTTTCTTCTTCCTTCCCTCTCTCTCTCGCCCTAGCAATCCATTTGCATGCCTATCGAGCGGGTAATTGGTATGCGACTTGCGTGTGAGTTTTATGAAACGCAAGTCCGCGTTTCCATCCTGCCATGTCCTCGCATGGGGACTCGGTGAAATTGAATTTCAGACACGGTTCACGTTATTACATTTTCTTTTTTATCCTCTCACTAGTTGCGATTCACATTGCAGCTCCGATCGTGGCGTGAAGTGGTCAGCGACTTCGTCGAGGAACCACCACCACCGGCTGAGACCTGGCCCTGCGACTCTGTCCGATGCAGCAGTCGAACCCTGGCGGGGATTTTTCAAAATAATCGAAGAAACTCCTTTGTCAATTTGGACAAGTTAACTTACACTCTGGGTTTCACTATTTGTAGGGATTCTTTGAGGAGGACCGGGATTCCCAATTTTTGGAAGTGGGTGTTAGCTTGCCGTTATTGGTTAATAGCGATGTCAATTGGATCGACGACCGCATCGGTAATCGGCGATGCATCCCTGCTAGAGATAGCACCGAATCAGAGGCAAAAGGCAATAAGTCCCTGGCGAGCACGTATAAGGCGCAACCCCTCATTTCGCTCGGCATCTTAAATTGGCCTCAATATCTGCCATTTAGCGCGATATACGCCTCTTCGTCCGAGGAGACCGGTCCCTCGGCGAGGTTTGTTTGCAGATCTCTGCTTACCGGCGGAGGATTTTTACCTAGGGGAACCTGCTGCCACCTGGCAGGATCCTAACGAGTTTCTGGGTATCTAGGAGGAAGGTATCCTTCACGGGCCATCCTGCTATTTCCTTTTCTCTCGAGGAGGACTGATTATCGAAGTAGGAGAGTTTCAATCGCGGTAAACGAGCCGTGAGGCGCGAACGGTCGAAAATAGACGCCAACCTAACCTATCATCCCGCTCACCGGACACAGAGCCTCTCTTTACCGAGAGTGATCGAGTCGGGCCGCAATTAAGCGTTTTAATTAATTAAATGTACACGAGAGTGGAGATAGACCTCTCGGCTTCTTAAACGAGCTACTAGCCGGGAGGAACAAGGACTCTTTCTCTTGCCGTCTCGTGCCTCTCTTTTCGCCTTTTTGTCCCGAAAGGATAGCCACGACCAAACTCGTTCCTCGAGTCCGGGCGCAATTCCCTTTAACAATTAACAATTAAGCCGACACGACGCGGACGCCATGTCCGTACCTTAACCTCCTAAAGGACCATTAAGGCCCCCCCAAGGTTCTCGGGGGTTCCAAAGGCTGCCTGGGAGAGCGGATACCTTCGGGAGACCAAAGTCTGCAGATCTGGGAGTTAATTAAAAGGGACAATCGAGTAAACGAACCGACCAACGGGGGCCCTAGGGATTGGCCAAGGAAAGGAAACGCAGTCTCTCGGCCTCGCGTGTTATCCTCCTCTCTTTGTCCCTTTTTCCCCGTTTTTGCGTCTCCGACTCTAAGAGTGCCTTTAATTAAGAGTGTTCCTTAAAATTCGTCCCTTGCCGATGAGGACACCCGAAATGTCCGTAAAAAAAAAAGAATTCCTTCTTTCACGGAACAACTAACGAAAGTATACGAGGAAACACATTTTAACTACCATTAACGCCATTATTAATCCTAACATATCGAGTAATGTTAAGAACGAGCAAAGAGTCAATTTGCACTTCCCCGGAGTGCTCAATTTTTCCGCAGGATGTTTAATGACGATTTTTTAAAAAATCTTCTAAGGGAACAATTTAGCTCCGTTAATTCTCGTCGTTCGCGGTAATTACTTCGTTTGTGTGTAACGTGTACATGGAGAGGTGGGTCAATTTCGTCTCTAAGTGTCCTTATTATCTATGCGGTTATGTTGTTATGGAACATCCACTTGACTTGAAATAAAGACACGTGTGACATCGTTAGTGACTTACTGTTCGTTTTCCCGAAATAGGTAGAAATTAAACAACGAAGTGACACCTTGGCATAAATAACGAATGCGTGGATGAATAAATAATAACGGCCATCCTTGGCGGCGGTTTTTCGAGGCGCGCTAGACGCACGATTTCCTGCCGTGCAAAAAGTAACGGGGCGAGCTCGGAGCTGAATGCATTCGGATGCACCGTGTCGTACTTGTGCGTTTACGTCCGCTTCATGTGTACGCAACGAGGCTGCGTCGGTGTGCACGCGAGCAGTGTATATACGCACTTCTCTGCTGATAACCTAACCCGAGTAGCTCGAAGGACGCTCGGATAAAGAAGCGTTCCGAGGAGCCTGGTTAACGTGGCGAGGATTTTCCCGATTGCGTTAATTCTCGTTACCGATTGACATTTATTTCGACTTATTAGAATTTATTATCACAGAACCTAGATGTGATTACTTACGTTTACGGGCTCGCTGGGGGAAGTTAGAACGGTTTCCGCACCTCGTGAAGCCGTCAACGGCCGCCAGCAGCGCGCAGTAGCTTCCCCCCGACAACTTTAGACCCACCTCGCGTCTTCACACCTTTGATAAAGGCGAATGAAGGAGGCGCCGTCGTGACCAACGACTGAGAAATACTCCCTGGATGTGAGTCATCGTCTTCCCGAGGAGCCATCCACCCAGGACACCGTGGTTTGGCTTGTTTTTCGAATAAACTCAGCTAGTTTAAGAGAGCGCGGGCGGCCATCTTAAAGTATGCGTCTGCGGCCTCGCGCGTGTAAATCTCGCGTCCCCCCGGCTCAAAGAGACGCCAAAACTCGAGGGACGCCGAAAAGAGCCTGGGTTTCTTTCTTTTATTAACTGCTACTCAGACAGCAGGGCTCGCGTTGGGTCCTCCGAGGCGTCGCCAATCGCCCAATCGAAATAGACGGACGTAAATCCGTAAGGTGCGCATACCACGAGTCGTGGTACCCACTGACGGTTCGTTTCCACAGAGTGGGAGGGTGCTAAATTTGGAGGAAGAAGCCACTACAAGGCTAAATTAATGCGAAAGCTTTCTCGTGGAGGCACCCCTTGGGGAACATTTCCAGATCACTCGTCGTCCCGACCAGACGCAGTCTTCTCTGGGGCCGGGACCTCTTCGGAACCTCTTCTGGACCTCTTCCGGACGTCTACGGAGCGTCTTAAGGATTTCTTCGGAACCTCTTCAGGACCTCTTCGGAACCGCTTCTGGACCTCTTCGAGACGTTCAAAACTGCCCCAAGATTGGACATGCGACCCTTTCGATCTACCCTCCTGACCGTGGTCATCTTCTTCATCGATTTGATAAATATCGAAGGCAAGTGCGTTCTCTTCTACGATATCCCTCACATCCTTGTTTCCTTCCAGTGGTCGCGGAAGAGGGTGAATCTTGGATAATGGAAAAAAAATAGAATATGACGGAGAATTGGTGCCTAGTGGTATTTCAATTGCCCGGTTTCTGGGGCGCGTCGATGGCGGGAAGGAAAATGCAAGTGCAATTCCCCCATGAATAATGGATGTGGCGAAAAGACGGCGACATTAAGGCCCCCTGGCCTGAATTCTCGAGGCGATCCACCGTTGCTGAAAATCCTAACCTATTTCTACGTTTTCCCGTCGCAATTCGCAGGATTTATCGCCGGTACGTCGATTCGGCTCGTGAAATGCCCAACCGCGTTTACCTAACCTAAATGCCTGCGAGTACCGGCCGTCACGTTCTCAGAATATGCAAATTGAAGTGCGAGGCCGACCGAGTTAGGCCTCGAAGAGTCCGTCGATGTTCCCAATCGAGTTCCTCGACATTGTTGGCCTCTAAAAATAGTCCACCTGATTTCCAGGAACTTCGGGACGTCATCGCCCACCTCGGGAGTTGCTCGCACGAATTTAACCCGTTCCCTTTGAACGTTGCCGATTGGACTGAAGGAATTCGTTCTTCCCCAGGGAGAAAATGCACCTGTACGAGCAAATCCTGCAAAGAAGCCGGGGTGAACACCTGCAGGACGAAATCCTTCTGCTACACGGAGCTGATCCTAACCTCCGACGGCAACCCGGGGGAGAACACCACGACGAGGGGCTGCACAGAGTCGGTACACCTTCTTGGACCACTCCTAAAGGAGAAGCTCGAAGGAAGGAATGAAAATGGACGAAATCGAGGGCTCTTCGGTGGCTTTGACTTCGAGTTGCGCCGAAGCGATAACCTTCACGAGATAATCGAGTCGAAAGGTTCTCGGTCCTGGGGTAATTAAAATCTGCGAGACAACGGGCGAACATTCGCTTCTTTGGTGTCTCCTCCCGCGAGAACCGTAATTAAAAATTATCGCCACTCGGGGAGGTTAGGTTGACCCTGATAAAAGTTCCCCGCCGATAAGGGGATGCACCGAACGGCGGAGAATAATTCGCCGCGCTCTCTAGAAAGCTTAGTGGAAATAATACCGGAGGAAAAAATTAGGCATTTGCTCGTTGGCGATCTCTAGGACTACGTGGACTGCGAAATGAACAGCTCGACGAATCGCGACGTGGAGTCAGCAAGTCGGGACGTCAACGAAAGCGAAGAATCGAAAGCCGGCGGCCATCTTGGAGTGCAAGCGTTTGCCCTTTTCACTCGGCGGTTTCGCAGTCGGCATTGCGCCCGAGCAATTAACGGAATAAATTAAATAAATTCCGGCCGAGTCGTCGCTTCGCTCGTTAATGCCGATTCCCGATAAATAACGTTTATCGCTCTTAGCGGTGATCGAGGGAGCGCGTTAGAGCGGGTTGGCCTTAAAAATCGGGAGGAATCTTTACTAAGCGCGGAAAAAGGAAGATGGAGTAACGCTCGGTGCGTTTCTCGAGATCTCCATCTATTTCTGGGACGCCTCGCAATCCCCCGTTAATTATTACTTCCCCTATGCACTCGGGCTCGCGATGTAAGCAAATAAATACTTTATCTCGAGTGCGGTTCGACGAAGAGTCTCCGTACACGTACGTAACCGCAAACCCATGTGTGTGGTCCCGATAGGCGGCTCTACATGGCCGGAGACCTCGGGTCATGAACTTTATCTATCCCGACATTATCTGACGAGGGCACCCCGATTGCCCAGAGGTACCGCCATTGCGCAAAAAAATCTGAACCTCGAGTCGAACCTGCCGACGCGCTTCCAAGTCTCAAACAAGAGAAGGATCGTCCATTTCCTTCCACATTTTCGAGCAATATTTTCAAAAATATAATTGCCCCAATTTATTAAGTACTTTTATTCCCAACAGAGGTGCACCACCCTTGCTGTGCGAGACCAAGATCTGGCCCAGGTCGAAGCCAGGAGACCTCCAGAATTTCCCCCTGCTTGTGCTCAAGTGCTGTGACACCCACGACTACTGCAACGCCGGTGACCTGACCTCGACAAAAATGGCCAAAGACCCTGAAGAGGATCGCCAAATGGACCCATCGACCCCTCAAAGTCTGGGTCCTCTAAGGGGACCCCCTGGCCCTGACCTAGGACACCCCACAACCGCAGGTCGAGGTCACGTGGATCGAGGTCCACCTAGAGAGACATACGAGTCGAAAAGCTACGCCGCGAGCCTGATGCGACCTCTGCACGTCGCCGCCGTGGTTTTAGCCTTGGCAGCCCTGATATCCGTCCTCGCCGCCTGCTACGTAATCACAAGGTCATTCGATTTTTGGTATCTCGATCACGTATCGGTTGGCACGACTGACGAGCGCAAAACTCGGAGCAAAGAAGGCTGCCGTTTCTTTTTTCTTTTTTCTTTTCTTTCTGGCAAATTTCCTTTTAGTTTAGGATCGGCAGGGCAATCGGTAGGATCGGGTAGGATGAGCGAGCGATGATGAATGGCGTGTGGCAGCGATGTCGAGACCGGCAAAGGAAACCCCGATAATTGGTTAATTTGCTTAATTACACGGCGACCAGAGGCCGGCAGTGATTGGATAAACTGACTCGGGCGGATTATATGGTCGGCTTTTTGCATTCCATTGTGCAAGTGCAAGTGTCTCAACGCATAGCTACGTGTAAAGTAGCGGTCTCGAATCGATCGAGGGCCGGGAGATCAAAGATCAGCGTTACGTTCCGTCGGTTAATTACCGAGATTCCGCAACGCCGATTTATTCCCCGTGGCCGGACTTCGTGCCGGTGCGTGTGTGGACAACCTGGGGTGCGCACCTCAAACATGGCGGGCGTGCCTCCGCCCGCAATCCGCTACAAATCAGGGTTTTCCTTCTAAACGGTGCGTGTCATAAGAAATTGCTTCCAACGAAAGTTGGAAGTATCGAGATGGGGCACAACTTTTGTAGGAAGCACTTTTTCGTGTCGAGACCAGGTTTAGAGCTAGGAGCGAAAGGAATCGCTCGCGAGCGCAGCTCCGACCTTTCCACTCGGGTGTCGGTTTCCAAACGAGAAAAGCAACGGCAAGCGTAATGAGCGATTACACTCGGCAATGATTTAGGGTCGTTGAAAACAAGGGAACGAGTGCTGTATGCTCGGACTTTGCCCGGCTATCATCGCGTTTCACTTCGCTCTCCTACTTCCCCCGTTCTCCATCCCGCCTCTTCGATCGCCATTCGCCGCACAATAAACTCCGTTATCAGATCGCCTCGCTCCTTTTCCTCAACTTCTGGCCAGTATTTCCACCGAGTTTCCTCCGGGGAGTTTGAAAGACCGAGAAGAGTCTCGAAGGTCTCCAAGTATGCTCATCGACGAGGTCGCCGATGGCCGATTTCGGTGGGCCCAACTTTAGCAGGCCCCTAAAAGTCAAAGTCACCCGTCCGCCCTGTTATCAGTGAGCAGTCCCCAAATAAGAGCCCGCCGCACGCTTAAACAGATATAAGGCCCAGGGCCGAAGGGGGTCCGCCCTCTAATCTGGCGGGGCCGGGGCCCTAAGTGGGTTTTCGAGTTCGAGAATGTCCGAGCGGGCCCCGAGGCCCCATGCCCGACTTCCGTCGGACTCTTCTCTTTGGGCTTTATCGGGCCTTCCAGAGGAGCCGACCGGGCCCAAACCGCGGGGCCAGACCCCCTCCACCTCCACTTCGTCATTTTTACCCGCTGGGACCGCCATCTATTCTCCTCCTTATCGCTGACGTCGCTCGTCACTCTCTGCCTGCTTTCCCTTTGGTGAAGAGAAAAAAAAAAAAGTGACGCCGGAGAGGGACGCGAATCAATTTGCGACAGTGCTTGGCGCTCCATTTGTTTTTAAATTAATAGCCGACCGCTCCTTTTCTTGCTTCGCTTTTTTTTTTTTAAGCCTACGGAAGCGAGGTGGATAATAAAAATAGAACGGTTGACGCAGATCGTAATTATTCAATCAGAGCTCGGTTTTTGCGCCGGCAGAGAGACTGTATCTGTTGTCCGAGTATAATGAATTTCTTTTTTTCTCTTTCCGCAGATTCCTCAGGAGTTATCCATACGTGGGCAGCTCCGTGGAGTAATGGCGGACGTCGCGTTCCCACGAATTTCTGCGCGCGAGGATCCACCTGGCAGGATATTCCGACTGGCCGAACCACTCAGGTACGCTCCGACTAATTGCCGTCCCGAAACCGTCCGACGTCCCTCCCGTGGTAAATACGCCGATGCTATCCGTGTTCTAAAACGGAAAAAGAAGGAGAAAGAGACTCCCGGGTTATCGGGCCATGACAGCGTGTTCGTACCCCTCTGCCCCGCGACATGGGTATTTATGCTGCCACTATACTTTCGACTGTTTGCCGAGCTTACAGCCGAGCTAGTTTGTTCTGGACGTAGATAAGGATAAAGGACAAACGAAGAGACGCTGATAGCTCCCGATATTTCCGACGGGTCCGGTTATATCTGTCCATTTTCGAAGCCCCGAAACGTGGGAGCGTCCTTTTTCCGTGATAATTTCCACCATACGACCCGACTCCTCGAGAGTTTCTCAGGTGAACGACCAGGAATGTGCGTCGACATGGCACCCGCGGTGGCGGCCGCCATCTTGGGTTGCGGTATTGCACCGACGAAACAAAAGGAAAGAGTGACGCCAGAAGCTTTTGTTCCGGCATAGGCAGCTGAATAATCTGAATTCCGTCGAAGCATGCCTATCGCTAGGTTGAGATGCCCCCGAAATTAGGTATCCGGCGATTAACGAGAGCCCGAACATCCCGGGGGGAAATATCGAACCGACACGAGTTTCTAACCCCGGCCCACCAGGTGCGTTGGCCATCTCCCGTGTATAATTACACCTGGACTAGCCAACGAAAGGCCCCTCCGTGTTCCACAGAAGTTGTGAGACGTTAAGAGCTACATCGAGGCGAAATTATCGTACATCCACGTCTCCTATAAAAACTAGACCATGGTAAAGAAACCCACGCGATCCCTTGCTAGGATTCGCGAGGAGTCGAAAAAGGACGAAGAGGGGAAAGAAACGAGCTGCGACGTGTAACTCGCTGGAAAGGTACATAAGGTAGAGGCCTAGAAAAGGGTTCGGAGAAATCTATTAGAGATAAGTACTAAGTTCTCCAAAGTTCCCTTCACCATGACCTTGGAGGCTGCAGTGCACATGGCGGCGCGTCGCGCCAGGTGTCGGGCGCCATCTTGGATCTCTTCGCCGACCTAGAATAATCGATTTTCGAGTATATTTTCCCCTTTTCCGCCTGACAAATCCGGAATCTCGAGTAATTGCGACGAGGGATCTTACTTATTTCACGAGATAAAGCTTGAGGAAGAGAGTCCGGACGCGTAAATATGTGGGAAAAAAGTGGAACGTGTACGCGTGTGCGTTCGAACATGGCGCCGCGGAGGAGCGGATCGCCGAACGACGCGGCAGCGAGCGTTCCGCAAAATTAGCAAACGAGCGGAATGGATAATTGGCGAGTTACCTGTCCCGCCGGCACTAATACCAACCTGGCGGTCGTAAAACGAACGATGCTAGATTTTATCTGCCGGTCTGGCCGAGGGAGAGAGACCGAGGGATTCGTGAGAAAGTGAGTTTCCCGCGAGCGCGCAATTGTTGCGGCATCGCGGAGGCGCCATCGCGACCGCGCTAGTCAACATCTCGATATTAAGTACCCATTGCGTCCACCTTCTAATCAAAGACAAGGATAACGAGAAGAGGGAAGTCAAATGCAGCTCCCTAAACCGAATATACTTTCTCGAGTCCGTTAAGTTCCCGAGCGATTAAAAACGGCCGCGCCAGGTGTGCGGCCATTTTTGTGAGTTCTTTTTCCGTCCCCCTTCCGCGGCAGACCCGGCAGCGATAAACCGTCGTCGGAAAGTGAGTCTTCCCGCACGTGAAAAGGACCCACTCCGCATAATGCAGTGTATTAAAACGAAGCCGGCTGCTCCTTGTAGAGAGAGAGGGCCGAGGATGGCGTCCCGCTTCCTGGGGCAGAAACAAGAGAGAAAAGGGATAGAATGTTAATAACGAGGAGAGGGAAGAAATATGTGTACGAAAGAGAAGGAAAAACAAGGTCCCCCGGGGAGGGGTAAAAGAGAGAGGAAGACGTACAAGGGGAGTAAGGGAGCGAGAGAGACGGGAGGAACGAGGAGGGTGAAGTAGGAAGGACTGACGAGGGACGAATGAGCACAGTCACGGGCGGAGGGAAGTGCAGGAAGGAGACAGACTTATGGGGACCAAGGTGGAGAGAAAGAGAGGGGACGACAGAGAGAGAGTCGATGGCTGCAGGCCGGTGCCCTCACGCACTTGCCCGTGCACGCATACACGGAGCACTCGAGCGCATCCGTGCGCAACCGTGGAGCGCTCCCCCGCGAGTGACGGGCGCCGCAGGCGCCACTGGGCTTCCCCCACCCTGCCCCCCACCGCGCAGCCAATCAGCACGCTCGCTGGCATCACGTGACGCGCGCGCTTTTCAAAACGCGGAACTTCTGCTTGGAAGAAGGCGTAATCGGATTGTTTCAAAATAGATCCATCGAGATATCTTCAACGAAATGCGTTCATACGCGTAACGTCCTCATGGAAAGGACTTGGTAGGATTTATTCTATGGCAGAAAGGATTTAAAATACCCAAAGTACATGTATTCAAGGGGTTTCAGAGAGGCCCGGTCACTATAGTTCCGTGCACGTTTTCATACACGGATTCCTAACCTCGGAGTACGCGCCTCGACGACGCTCTCGTTCTCGGCAGCGTTATCGCGGTAATATTACCGCTTTACGGCTCCATGCAGCGCCGCGGCGCATTCCCTCGTCGGGAACGCCATCGGGTACACTCGCACACTTAGGCTAGGAAAGTGTGGGAGCGATTTAGTCAGCGCTTTCGAGTTCCCCGGCGCCCTCTCGAGTGACTCAGAGAGCGGCGCAGCGGCGCCCCACGTCCCGGCGCCTCAGTCGCCTGCGAGCGCTCGCTGCAAACGGGTCTCCGCACGCATAAGCTTCCGAACCACTCCACGGACGAGACGCGCGTGCGACGTGCAAGTCTCATTAGACATGAGGTTCCACTGCTGAGGGATAGTCGAGGAACGGTCGTCGACTCCTCTTTCACGTTCGCGTTCGTTCTCGTAACGCTCCGGATTTGTCGGCCTCCTTTTTTCCCTTGAATTCATATTTTCGGGGGGAACTCGACCGGTGGTTTCGATACATGCGGGGATTCGGTTTCCTTTTGCCGACTTCGTTTTTATGAGAGCCAAGTGTGGAAGATGCTTCCGAGGGAACTCATCGCGCTCGCTACGTTGACGCTCTCCGTCGCCGCTGGCGTCGCTTCCGTCGACCTGGACTTCGGGGATTATGAGGTCCTCGGTGAAGAGGAGGGCAGGACGACCGATGGCAATGGTGAGGAATTTTTTTTCCCCCTAATATTTTCACGCCTTTCTTCGATTTAATTCCCCAATTTCTGAATTCACTATGTTTCAATTATGGGAATCATTCATAAAATGGACACGGCGCTCATACTTTCTTAAGGATTAATAATTTGAGACAAAAGAAATAAGTAGTAAGGTGGCCGCTATTGCGAGAAAATTATAAAGTCGGTAGATATGAAGGAAGAGAAGTGAAGAGGGACGATGAAAAAGGAGAAGCAGTCGGGTGGCAAAGGTCTCTTTGTCTTCGACCAGTGCGTGTCAGTCCGGTGACACTGCGGACCACTTTGGCGTCGGCGTCGCGACGTCGCCAAGGGCCGGTGCCGGCTCGACCGCTGCCAAAAGGAACGCATGCGTTCCACTTTTTCCGGAAGTCGCCGGCGCCACGTGACGGACAAAAGGGAGAAACGAGAGAAGAGCCCTCGACTTATATAATAACGAAGATGGCCTACGAAATCGGTCACCGTCTAAAAATATAACGCTCGTTGAAAGGAAAAAAAAAGAACTACTTTTTCAATTAAAACGAAGTAGAGGCCGGTGGTTCTTAGATCCAAGATGGCGGCACAGACCGTTGGTCACGTTTAGATCGGTAAAGGGAGCGCCGCGCTTTGCGGCCGATCCGATTTGCCGATCGCCGACCGCAAGCCCCACCGCAAAATCAACGACCTATAGATCCCTTATCGATCTCCGATACCGATCGAAGCCACGCGTCGATTTATCCCTCCGCGCTTCGCGCGCCAATCTTTCACCACATAACCTCAAAGCCATCCGCCTGCTCGAGCAATTCTTGATATCATTTGGAGCGCCTCGACATCGCCCGTTACATACTCGCCATTACCGTAATCGTGGCAATTAACGATCGAGGCGATAACGAGTGAGGCCCGAGGCTCGTTTAAAACGGAAATCTGGATCCTGGTCTGCCGAACTTCGCCAAACTCGCAGGCGCCGCGACGCCCGGCGCCGCTGCGCTTCGGGAATAATAAACATTTTAATTTTACTTCGGCGCGATACACGGAGTTTGAAGACGATAAAGTGTGCGACGGGCGCCAGCTAGTCGCGCGGATAGCGCGATGTATGAAACGAGCGAGGGCGCCAGTACACGCGAGTACTTGTGCGCGCGAGCGTGTACGTGTGAGCGAGCATATTCCCGCCAGAATGCCTAAACGTAGAAACTCTTATATACATACATACATAAGCATATACGCGTGCACATCCTCGCGTTCTCGGGCTAAATACGCGCGGAAACGCACACACTCGCGTACAGTTTAACAAGTGCGAATAAATAAATGCACGTACCTAAACGCGTGCTTCGCGAACACGCGTAAGTGTGCGTAAACGCACATGGCTGAGTTAAGGGGCTCGTTTTACGGAAACCATTTCACTTAGTTTCGACCAATCAGCGCCTGTTACGGTGCATCCTCAATCTCGCCTTGATATTCTCCGCGATCGTGACGCATGCGCGGCCGTACATGCACGTTATGTACGTTATGTATAGCATCGCATATAGGTACGCGTGTACGCATCGCGTATGCCTTCCCGAAGCCATTGATCTCGATGCGTCGCCCCAAGCGATTCGCGCCTGTTGGCCTCTCTCTCGGCCCCACGGCACAAGGCATGGTTCTCTCTCGTTTCTTCGGCTCGTCTTCCGCCTTTTGCCGAGTCGAAATCCCGGAATTGCCGACCCGTTAGTTGCGACTAACGAGGGAAGCCTTCCCACCGTTAGTCCGTGAACGCGTCGGTAAGCGACACGCGACGAAGACGAATCGAGACGAGTCGGAGGTACCGTCCTTCCGTGATATACATCAAGTTTTCTGGAACATTTCCCTGGTTGATCCTCCAGTTAGTCAGAAAAGTATCTCTATTTATACCTACGATCGCCTGATAATCATCCAGAATCACGCGATCTTGATCTTCTCGCCGGGTCCGTCTTCGCTTGAAAGCTGGAAATAGGGGATCTTGATTACCGCTCATGTCCGAAAGGATGGGTTCAGGAACGCGAGGTCAATCCGGGTGCCGCAGTTAGATGTGTCTCGCGCCGGTCCAATTCGGTTCTGACCAGCCCGCGCCGCTGTCCGGCCGTGGTGTGAGCGCCCGCGGCGGTGCGCGCCTGCTTATATACCCCCACCCTGCCCCCCGGTGGCGCCTGCTGGCGCAACGAGGTGCACGGAGCATGCAAGTGTGAAATGCAAGAGTGCGTATCGGCTGTGCCTCTTCTTCCTCGGTCTACTGTTTTCACCCTAACGGTCTCTCTCCTTCTCTCGCATGCACATATATAAAGGATACGTGTCGGTCATGTGCGCCCGGGGCCATGCCGGTGTACCATTCGGATCCCCGTAGCAAAGGAGCCGCTTCGAAGGCGGTTGGCACACGGAAGTGACGACTGTCGCTTTTATGTGTGTGCGACTGGTAGCCTGTGCCCCGGCTTCTAGGTGGAGTGCTCGCCAACGGGCACGCGTCCGGTAGCGTGGGGTCGGCGAGTTTTTTTTGTTTACACCGGTGGTTTGTTAAAAGCAAAGGTCTCAAGTCTTGGAACTGGAACCGTGTAGATCTCATTCGATCGGTCTCGAAAATAGTCGCGATCACGCTCCTATCCAAAGATCGGTCAGGGCCAGTTCGGCCAGAACCGGTCACTCTCGGTTCCCATACACCTCGTATGTAAATCCGACGGAATCGAGCCCGGGGGAGATTAATAGCGTCCGCGTTGACAGTGGCCAATGAGATTAAAAGAGATTTGAAGTGAAACTATAACGGCGACACGTAAAGAAGCCAGGATTTATGGGCGTCCACGAGACGAGCGAGTGGACGACGGTTCCGCGCGTGTATGACCGCGCACGTAGACGAGAATTAACAGTTTAGAGACCCTAGTATCCCCGCGAGGTACGTCGATGAATTACCTCGAAGACGCACGGACTATACCACGTCCATGCAGCTCCGACATGCACCTACATATCCCAGGACACGGAAGGACCCCGAGAGCGTAAATCGTTCCCAACGGATCCGAAGTAGAAAGTTTTCCACAATCTGGGACCCCAAGGCCGACGACCTCCTACCGAGTCTCGGGCACCCTTTTTGCGCCGCTCCATCCCTCCTTTATTCAATTTATCCCGATATAATTGCGCGATATTACCAGCCGCGAGGAACATATAGGACCCTTGAACGCCGAGCTTATGGTTGGCTCTTACCCGGCCATCAAGATGAACCGTTTGCGGTGCATTTGCCGGGACGCCGTTTCGCAAGTGGTACATGTCTTGATCCAGGAATTACTCCCCGTCTCAATGGTGGAACACGCCTTGGCTCACGGCTTTCCAATCGAAAGATCATCCTCATTAATACAATATAATCGGTCTCGGAGGTGGTGGTGGATCAGACTATAGTCGATGACGCACTTGTCCCTTGCCCTTTTTCCTTTTTTCCCCGGTTCTGGGTGCACCCCTAGGCCCCGATTCTTCCGAGGTACCTTTCCACTCCCCTTCGGGGAATCTGCAGGCTAATTGCGGCCCTCGATACGCAGTGCCTAATTGCGGATCTCTGGTCTTCGCACTCCAACCACTCCCACGAGTGGCCCCAACAAAACGAGGCTGCATTTGGGTCAGTGGCATCCCTCGGCGCCAAGATTCCGTGTAAACGCCTCCCAGCTCGGCCTATTTCGAGTCGAGTGACAAGGTCATTGTCTCCACATCTTGGCATCCCTAGGTCGAAGGAGGCGCCAAAAATCCGCCACTCGATCGATCATCCTTCAAACGGCTGCTACAGCGGCTTCCGTGGATCCATTCTATCTCCCCTCTATATACCACTGTTACGCTTCCTCGCTTTTACAGTCCTCTTTATCATCCCCGACTGATTTACCGCTTCCTCGTGTCGCCATTACGGCCGCGACTCCAGGGCCCCTATTCGCTCCCCTCTTCCTTTTCCCGCCAATTTTCTCAAACCGAGTTGAATTCGTGGCTCATTTGCACGAATTATCGCGCTTTAACGGCGCCGCCGTATACCGGGGCAACGCTTCCCGTTAACCTATCGTAATTGCCGCACCGAGCCGTAAACACCCCACTAAGTGCGTTACTGGCCGGCCTCGTTGCAGCAACGAGACTCGCGGCGATAAATCAGGAAGCGTCGTTAAAAAGGCTCCTGCCTTTCGCGACGTCTCGTTAAATTCACTCGGGAATCCTCTTCGTCCTCTTCTCGGGATGGATTTGACCTCGGGTCGCGCAGACACGTCCGGAGTGGCATCCTAACCTCACTTCTCCGGCCTTCTTCCGCATCCCTCTCGACTGGGGTCTTACGACACTCGTTTCCCTCGCCTCCAGGCCCGGAAAGAGAAACCTAGGAGTCGTTTAACCGACAAATACCCTCAAATTAGGGAGAATCGGCGAGTTTCGCGTACAGAGGAAAGCCTCCCGAACCGAGAGGGGCGACTTACGGTACGCGTACGGTACGTACTTGTACGCACGTACGCGCGCCCGTACAAATATAACTTAACTGCTTTCGAACGCACGTCCAGTCTTATTAAACTTGTTGTAATTCCGCGCGGCAGCGCGGAATGAGCACGTATTCCTACGTGCATCTACATACAAGGAAGGCACGAGCTCTTGCGCGCCTCCGAATGCCTCTGTGTGTGTCGTTCCTTTTGGACGGGCATTCGAAGGTGTCCAAGAGTATCCGAGAGTGTCCACCCTGTCCACGTGGAATAATGCACACGAGAGGAGATTACCTGCACAGGGATTTTCAGGGGGCCCAGCCTCGAGTTCCGAGAGTAACGAATTTCGTTTCTCCTTTTTTCCCCGTGTTCATCGGCAATGTCTGTGGGTACACCCACCCACACACACACACAAGAGGCGCCACCGGCATTTTCATGCGCACACACGAGCGGTGGAACACACCGTGGACGATTAATCGCCTGCTACCGAGCGCATATCCGTCCATACGTGTCCACCGTTCGCCATTTACCATTCGCTGCCGGCCATTTTGCCGAGGAGG